TTTTTTTTTTTTTTTTTTTCCTAAGCTGACTTCTTTTCACCCTGTCTTGTTCTTTCTCACAACAGCATGCTAGGTTATTCCAGTGCGAAAATAAAGAAGAAGAAGTTTAGGACTACCTCTTGTGGCCTATTCTCTGTAAGGCTTGCAGTACGAGTATCGATGGTTCATGTGTTGGCTGTAGGAGCCAGAGTGGGAGAAGCGCTTGAGGCACTTGGAGCACTGGAAAGGTTTTTCACCACTGTGCAGCCGCTTGTGTTCCGTAAGGTGATGCTTGTGTTTAAATGCTTTCGGACACTCCAGACACTTGTATGGCCTTTGCCCTGAAAAAATATTTGTTGAAAGTCAAGTCTTGTTAGCCTTTATTGCTGTTTGGATATAAAATAATACCATATATGTATTTTTTATCAAACTAACTTTCAGCTTAAGGTTATGTATTCTACATAGTTTCTGAACACAGTTTTTATCATGGTCGTAGAAAACAAAATTTTTCATCGGGGTCCTTGTAACAAGGTTCTTTTAAATATGGAAGCTTATGTTGCTAAGTTGAGAATATGATATTGTAAAAATATATATTTATAAAAATATACTTCTTAAATGTTAACACTAATATAAATGAGTATTTAAAGCATGCGGCAATCGTATGCTTCGACTTTTTTTGTCTCGTCCATTGTTTGCATATCATCCTCACGCTTTGGCTTTTATACATATAATTTCGTGTGTTAATGTATATTCACTTTACTATTTATTTCTACACTGGACACGATGCCTGTCGCGGATAACCGAAGCTTCTACTTAAGGAAGTACACAGATTCGTTATTATTTGCCAGTGCTTATTAATTCTCAGCAGGAATAGATAGTTGGGTTGATTTGAAAACAGTTTTGTTCCTTTTTGGCGTAAATATTCTTTGGCATAATCATTAAAGGGGAAAGAAAATTTTTTTTTAATGGTGGCGGTGTCGGAACATCAATGTGTGAACATTAACCAATTGAGACTATGACTAAATTAAATAGATTTTTTTGACCATGAAGTAGGTATTACAATTTCACAAGATTTGTACATTTTTTAATATAAAAATATTCTATGGCACACTAAACAAAGCTGTTTTCAAGTAACCACACAACATTTATTTGAATATTACCTATCCTGTTCCGGATTTTATGTTCTATCCTTAACTTTTTTTTTTTATACAATCTTTCTCGATAAATGCCACTATTGTAATTATTATTATCATTATTGTTGTAAATATTATTATCATTATTATTATTACTATTATTATTTTCTTTTCTCATAGTAATTTAATAAGTTACAATTGAGTATCTAAAGTTAATTTGTACATTAGCATAAAAGTATCAGTTCACAAGCGTGTTTTGCCCCATGCGCACTGCAACCAGTTGGCTATCCATAGNAATACAAATCTGACCAAATTTTTTTTTTTAAATTTATTTAACATTAATTATAAATTAAGCATACTTTCTCACTTTTAATTTAAAACATATCTATTGTACATAATAATGCGCTTTGCTTTCTCATAATATATACTTAACTTATAGTTGTATATTAATAACAATATCACTTATCACTCATTGTACGCGTAAATAAAGAGACGAATAAACTCTTATAAAATACATCTTGAGTATTATTCATCATCTCGTAAACATTGTGCTTCTTATTAATTTTGGCATATCTAGCGCATGGATCTGAACGAACTAAATAATATAAAAAGTTTTCCGAGATTTTTTACAATATTACGTCACGTGGAAGCATTTTAACATCATACATATGAACATTCTCTAAAAAAAATAGTGGGCCTCGAAGAGTACGGTGAAGAAGCCCCAATGGCGAGTGTCATACGTAAAATAATCGCGTTTCACCGGGCTCTGTTTCATTCCTCACATAAGTGTATATAAATATTATTTTTGTCTCAAGACACGATTTGTTTTTTTTTTTTTTTTTTGATAAATAACATTAAATAAGTCAGTTGACGGTTTCCTTTGTCGTTATTTTATTTATTGTCCATACGTTGTCAACGGCTTGAAAAGAATTAAAGACAAAGCAAGTATAAAAATAGAATCAAACCAGATACTTTGATAAGTGAAAGCTAGACAATCATGAATGCAAGTACACAATAGTGTTCTTTGCACTTTGATGAGTACGGTATATATGTTTTCGCATTATTTTACTGAAAACAACGGAATGTGATCGGAGATTCATCGTATCTTACGTTTCGTATGAAAAAGCGCAAAATTTATGCAAGAACTGAGTAAAACTGATGTTCCACACGTGGTCAAACACTACATAAGGTTAATAAGTAAGTACTCTTGACGATTCACTTGTAAAAGTCTATATTATTTTTATTATTATTCTAAATTTCAAATGCAACTCTGTCAAGATGTCTTTTACTTTAGTGCTCACGCATGGCATCTTTCACCGATCTGCAAGGCCCTTTGCATTTTTTATGCTTATTAGTACACCTCTCTTATTCGAACTTATTATTAATTATAGTCATGTATGGCACGCTTTTCAAATCAATTAGACCTTGCGTGTTTGTCACTTATTAAATAACTTTTTTTTTCTTTCTTTTTTTAATATACGGCACTGATATACAATTATATACGAATCATTTTTTAAATTTAAGTAAAAAAAGGCTTTAGCTTATATAAGCTCACTGAATAAAAATTAATTGAAGACCATCCAATATGGATAATAAGCTTTGTCTATTTTGTGATTGGTGATAAAATTTACAGCATTGATCAATCGAACAAAGTCCAATATTACTGTGGTTGAAGTAAAATTTAATCAAAAACAAAATCTGGGCTTGGAAAAAAAAATCAATTAGATCGAAGAGTTCAAATTATAACAGGTTCTGTTATTTAAAGCTGTTTTGTTTGTTGCTCATTATTAAGAATTTATTGTTCTCTCGAGTTTTAAATTTTCAGAAACAAAGGTTCTGTTATCGTTATAAACATAGAAACAATATTATATATACATGTATCTTTTAAGTACTCGCGATTCTAAAAAAGTTCGGAAATAATAAAAACGATTAAAATTGTTAAAAAATTTTGGGAAAAATAAAAAAATAGTTTACGTATTCAACTTCACTCGCTTTGAATGTTACTGTAGGAAAACGAATCATTTGCTCATAGCAAAAACATTATCGAATCAGTAATACTCAGATTTAATCGAGCATCTAATAAAAATAATGAAAATCAATAAAATGAAGCATTACCGTGCACCTATGTAACAAGTGACTTTATTGTTTAGTATTGTCATTAAGAAATCTCGTACAGCAAAATCATTCAACGATAAACTTATTGGTAATTTAGAGCCCGTCTCAAGCGTTTCACTTCTAATGGAATGAGTGTAAGTCTAATGACTTTTCTTCTGATTACGACTAAAATTTAAATAATGAAATACAAAAGCCCAAAATCATAGTTTAAAGGTGTAATTCATCTTGGCTTTGGTCTACTATCCTGAAGAAAAACATCACTGTATAAAATTGTAATGACTATGCACCGAAAAGAAACAAATTTTTTATTATGTTACATCGGACAAGCATGAATAGAGAAAATAACCATAACAAATACTTCAATGCATGCAAAATATCATAAAAAACATCATAAGAATGGAAAAAACGAACCGATAAAAACAAAAAAAAATCTAACTACACATTTTCAACTAAAAATTTGATATTTTTTTGCACCTTAGCATCTGCAGTGCAAATATCATTTTTTTTCAACATTATATTTCTGCACATTACAATTTTATATGTACAATGTACACGCAGCCGTAAACATCTTTTTAAATTAGTTTCCCCGCACTAGTAAAACAGCGCGAAAGCGCGAGGATATTCGAGCCCCCACCCTGAAAACCCTCACATAGAGCAATCGTTTTTTTTTAATTTTTTTTTTTCTAACGAATTTGTACATTAATTAGTGTCTTATTATTGTCATGGTATAATATCTCGTCAATAAAAATAATAAAATATGATGAATGCTGTATCATCGTATTATGTAATAGATTATTGCATTATGCTTTTTTGGTACCGTTACGTCATTTGGTTACTCTGCGTTACCTTTTGTTTCGCCTTTTTTTAGGGGTTCTTGCAACTTTGGACGCTTAGTAATATCTCATAGTAAAAAGAAAAAAAAATCATATAACGGTGAAAGGCTGCTTATAGCAAGCCACTTCTTTTCCTCTCGATTTTTTAATAAACGTAGTTGTCTTCGCCACCTTCTACAAGCTTTTGTTCGAATCTACATAACGTTTGAAAACAATAATTAGTTAGCGTTTTTTCGTCGCTCAACTCTAACATGAAGCTGCATGCCTGCCTGAGACGTCCTCAAGTTTTTTTTTTTTTTTTTTTTTTTTTTTTTTTTTTCCTAAGCTGACTTCTTTTCACCCTGTCTTGTTCTTTCTCACAACAGCATGCTAGGTTATTCCAGTGCGAAAATAAAGAAGAAGAAGTTTAGGACTACCTCTTGTGGCCTATTCTCTGTAAGGCTTGCAGTACGAGTATCGATGGTTCATGTGTTGGCTGTAGGAGCCAGAGTGGGAGAAGCGCTTGAGGCACTTGGAGCACTGGAAAGGTTTTTCACCACTGTGCAGCCGCTTGTGTTCCGTAAGGTGATGCTTGTGTTTAAATGCTTTCGGACACTCCAGACACTTGTATGGCCTTTGCCCTGAAAAAATATTTGTTGAAAGTCAAGTCTTGTTAGCCTTTATTGCTGTTTGGATATAAAATAATACCATATATGTATTTTTTATCAAACTAACTTTCAGCTTAAGGTTATGTATTCTACATAGTTTCTGAACACAGTTTTTATCATGGTCGTAGAAAACAAAATTTTTCATCGGGGTCCTTGTAACAAGGTTCTTTTAAATATGGAAGCTTATGTTGCTAAGTTGAGAATATGATATTGTAAAAATTAATTTTTTTTAATTAATACAAATCTGACCAAATTTTTTTTTTTAAATTTATTTTAATGCGGTTATAAATTAAGCATACTTTCTCACTTTTAATTTAAAACCATGGATCAATGTAGCTTGAAGATAAAATATACTGACATACTTTATTTAGAGTATGTAAAAAATGTTATGTGATCTGAATTCTTTATGAAATTTCACACGCTCATTGACATATTTGTCAATGTGTGGCCGTAAAACTTATATTTAACTCTGTAGAACAAAATTCAACGAACAAACATTTAATACATGTAAAAAATATTTCATCAGTCATTTTTTTTTCAATTTTGATGTACCTTGTAAATTATTTTTTAATGATCACTTTAAGAGATTCTGAACAAATTATGAACAAATCTACTGCTCATGGATATTAACATGGAGAAGATTACTGTCTTCTTTTTGTTTAAAATAATCAGTTTATTGTAAGTGACGTGAAAAATAGTACGTAGCATTGAAGCAGGTGCAGTTTCAAATAGATGAACATTTTAGGTCTCCAAAGCAGCCCTGAATTTTTTCGAGTTATACAAAATTTTTTGAAAGAATAGTCCAAAAACGTGCTGCAGAGTACTGCAGCCACGTGGCACAGTACTTTTTAAGTCAATTGGTTCTCAAATTGTTTCTTTTCGATCAGAAATTGCGTCCATATATTTAAAAAAAATAAATGCCTAATGTTGAACTTCAAAATTTCTGATTTTTGAAAGCTCATCAAATATTTTTTTCCTTTGAAATTTTGCATTATAGATTAGAATTTTTTCGAAAAAATTGCATAACCTAAAAATTTTTGATAAAAACTGTGATAAACTAGACAATCTGAGAAATGTCTGAGAATTTTTTATGCCTGATTTGTTCAGTATTATTCAAGTACTGGCGAGCTAAACGAAACTTGGCCATAAGTGTCCAGAATTGGTGTAATACGTACGATATAACACTAGTACCCCCTTATAACAAAAAGATGCTTACAAAAGTAAGTTCACGCTAATGTCCTAAACATTTAAATTTTATCCAATTTTCAAACTAACAGTAGATTCTTTTATCTGTTGCAACACATCACTGTTAAAAAAATGTGTATTAATTTTAATAACTATATATCGGAAGCAAATTTCAGTAACGGTTTTGAAGTTTAAGAACACAAGATTAAAATTTTATAAATAATTTATGAGTTTAATATCAACCGAATAGTGTAATTTTAAGAACTATGTGTAGAAAATTTATAAAAAAAAGTATCAATTATTTCGATATCAACATGTAAAAGCAATAATCGTTTGTACAGTAGTTACGAAATATATCTTTTAAAATAAAGAAGTATAGGACCGATTGAGTAGATTTCAAAACATGAATCCAAGACAAAAAAGTGTAACAGAGAAAAGTGAATAAAAGTAATGTTGAATAATAAAAAGAAAGACGACAAGAAACGAAATATATAAAAACACAATTGAATAAAGGAACAATTATACAACACTACATCAACGTACAATTGCGGTCCAAAAACTTAACGGTTTCCAGAAAAAGATTTAGAAACATTTTTTCTTCCTTTTGATCTAAGTTATACATTAAATTAGTTTGATCCGTATGTCTATGCCTTATTTATTCATAAAAAATATAATTAAACGATTTCATATCTGACTCCTTAACCAGACATCAATACTCACTTTAATCTTAAAAAGCATCTTAGAACAGCGTGCAACATAAAAAAATTATATGAAAGAACTTTCCCCATGCAATACCAGATTTTACTGGGTCATTAATTCGAATTTCATATATATACTGTAGCACAACTATAATCGCAATACGGTAGCTGATACAAAATAGCGCGTCAGCTTTAATCTTACACCCATTTGACATCTGTATTTATTGATAGGGTTTGACAAATATTCTCGAATATTTAAATGCTTCGTTACATTCATTTTAATCTGTTATAGCAAAATGATCGATGCTTATCAAGTATTAAGCTTATTTCCTGTTTTGTAGCTTTATTCAACAACTTTTTACGCTAGGTCCCAAGTGTCGGTTGATCATGATGCCAAGTAACACAGGTGGCTTTTACTTAGTTAAGTTTTTGACTGTACCAATTAGTGTGAGTTAAGTTAAGTTCATTGCATTGCAATATATTCATAACAAGATGTAAGGATTTTGTCCATTTGTTTTAGTTAGAATTGACTGACAGGGTTGTGTTCCACAATATTAATCAGTGAATTTCACTATAATTTCAGTCTAACTGATAAAATCTCCTATAAGCCAGGTGCATGATAGATGTTAAATCTTGTGGAAAAAAAATAATTCAAGTGGCCGTCACTGATAAATTGACCATAACAACTCATAAACCACAATGATAACGTGTCTAGTGCCGCCAGCCCTCCTCTCCAACTTAATTAACGCATCACATACATTGAAACATTTTTATTTTAATTGATACATCAGAATTAATAATAAATTTTAATAATAAGCATATTAAGTACTGTGCCTATATAGATTGCCACCTTTTATTATACACTATGCAAAAAAAACGGCTGCTTCAACTATTTTGCCCCATAAGATTAACTAAAATTCTAATAAACTTTTATTAGAACCCCTTGACAATTGAAATTGTTAGTTGGCTAAGTTATGCTGCATGCTAGTGCTAAATTTTTCAAAAAGTCAAGAGTTTTAGCTAAAAATAAGTTCAAACTTTAAAATTTGTCTAAATGTTAGGCCATAGTAGCGTAAACTTTGAATTAAGCCACTTCAAAAATATTATGTATATAAATTTACTAAAAATGAATAGCATATTTTGCTCTACACGTAAAAAATTGTGAATAGTAGAAGAAAGTCGATTGGGTTTTGGGTCCACTAACCTCAAAATTTTGATTTAGGCTAATAAACATAAGTAATATTCAATTTCTAAGTGAACTTTAGGGTTACTGTGTGCCTTAGTGATCGTAAAACTAAGAAATGTAATCAGTTTTAAAAAACAAACTTACCAGAGTGTTCATATTTATGTCTTGTGAGAGAGCTGTGCTTGGAAAAGGTTTTGTCACATTGATTGCAAAAATACTGACCCTCTTGTTCAGCTTCTGTTTGTGTAGGTAGGTCGGTAGTGATACTTACTTCAACGTGATTTTTAGTTTGTACAACTGGGGTTTCAGCCTGTTGAAAGTTAATACGTTTTAGAGGCAAGAAACAAATGCAAGCAGTGGGTACATTTTGGTTCATTCAAGGTAGCTCCTTACCACCACAGAGCTCACGATTTATGTCGATTTATGAAGTTCCCTGATTAAGTATAACAATAAAGAAATAGTGTAATATAGAAAATGAGTACTCGTTAAGATAAAAAAATCCAGGTGTGGGTCTTGGAACCTCCGCCTAAAGTGAAACTTCTAACTTAAATGTTTTTAAACTTGGTATAACAGAAACTGAGAAAATTAGAGTACACCTAATTTTAATAGGTCTTAAAGAATTTTAATATTATTACGTATTCGAGCACGCGCGTGCGTAGAATACATATACTTTAATATACTACTTATGTTACACGTGATTAGCGCATTCTAAGTACCTACGTTTGTTATGATAAATGTAATACATGTACGTATTGTTGGTCATATAATGCAGAACAAAAAAAAAGTTTTCACCATACTGTGCCGAAAGAGGGTACTTTTGACCCATTACGCGGGACAAAAATTTCTTTCATTTAAAATTACTATTCGTGTGAAATTAAAATGAATCAATTAATAGGTAGGATACGAAGGATGTAGCTTTGCCTTTGAGATGTGATTTTTATTATTTTTAGAATTATTACGATTATTTGTATGAATCCGTGTGATATATATTTTAGCACCTCAATACTTATTTTGTACACGTGGAATTATTTTTGGCCTATCAAAATACGATTTTTTTTTCTAATTTTGAGAGGTTGTGTTGTAACAAAAGTTTTTCGACGATTTTGTCAACATTCGTACGAATGTTCCAAACATGCTATACTAAGAAAAAAATTTTTTTTTACTTTTTCTTTTTTAGATACAGTCAAAAAACGATATTGAGGTTATGTTTGTGCATAGTCCAACCCCTCTCAATTTATATATTGTGTAGTAACAAAAATTTTTTGAAGATTTTGTAAATGTCCATATTAATTTTCAAAAGACAGGAATCTTTTTCGTTTCTTATCCAATTTTAACATTGTAAAGCTTGTTCTACTCTACGCAATTTAACATTAGATCACCGTGAACAATTAAAAAAAATATTCGATGTGTAATAAATTAGTTTAATAGTTTATAAGAAAATATAGGCTTTCCGCAAGAATCAAATTTTCTGCAAATTCAAGAATCCATGCAGTAAAGAACTGCATTTATTTCATAACGCATTAAATATTTTTGAAAATTTTCCACGGTGACATTATAATATTATTCAATTGTCCAAAGAGTGAAAGCTTTGAAAAATTAAAATTGGACAAGAAATCAAAAGTATTTTTTTTTTGAAGTGCAATTGTAAAATTTAGAACTATACATAAATTCCAAATAGTAAATTTTATCAAAGAATTTTTTTTTAAGTCATAAAATACCCATTTCTCGTACTAAAGTATTTATTTATTATTGTACTACGACAGACAGCTATATTAATAATTAAAAGTTTTGTACTCTATAGTAGTAGGGAGCCACCTTAAGAATTATTTTAAGTGAAATGTAAGAATAAAAAAAATAGCCAATACCTTAATAACAACTTCTACAGGAGTCATTGACTTTGTATCTACGGAATCATTAGTTTCTTCGTCTATTACAAGAGCTGATTCTTCCGCATCTTCCAACTCAACGTTATTGTTGACTAATACTTTCGGCACTACTACATCCTCTTTTGGGCAATAAGGCGAAGCCGTATGTCTACTTGAAGCGTCACTACTACCCTGTGGTGTTGAGACTATTCTGACGATTTCTTTTTTTGACAGGTCAAGTGGTTGATCATTATACATGTGACTGTTAAGGTTTGACAGTGGTACCAAACCTGGCATCTTAGCTTCTCGTCGATCTCTTGCTCTTGAATTTTGGAACCATACCTACAAATGTATCATATTCCGAATAATTATGTGATGAAAAACATGAGAACGTACATTTTTTTGCAATTGAATAGTACATTTAAAAAAAGAAAAGGTCTTACAAGTAAAAAGAACTACTGTCAACTAATTAATACAAAGCTTTGTTACTATTTCATAGTAGTTTTTTGCTTTCCCGTAGAGAAATTATAGTAGAGTACTCTGGCAAAAACATGTGCGAGTATGGGCGTATGTATACGTGGGATCAGTTATTGGAGTATGAGGATTTCCTCGATCGATTTTAATGAACCTTGGCATATTTTCGATGCATGAAAAAATTAATTAGACATTAATTATCGAAATAATTGCTGAGAAATCATCCATTAAAAACAGTGCAGACAGCGACTTTAGCACGCGGTCGTTCTACTACGTCGATAAGGTCTGGGACCACACTGCTGTGTACCGACATCACCCTCCGATTTTACCTGCCGAGCGTCACTTACATTTTTAATAGCTGAATAAATTACTTTTTTCTTATTTCGCATATTTTCTTCAAATCTATACGATGACTTTCTTTATTTCCCACCTAAACAATTGTATTGGTAACAAAAAACAAAAAATCACTTCAACTTACTATTGACAAAAAATTGTTGATCAATTTTAAAAATCGGCTTAACAATAGAATAACTGGTGCATTTTGTTAACAATAATAATACATATGTAATGACTAAATATTAACAATAAAAAACGATTGCTTCCCTCATTTTTTCGCTAGGAAAAAACAATTTTCACCATGTGAAAAAACCTATACATATACGTAAAATCATCAGTTGAAGAATTTTTGATTCAATTTAACACTTTTCGATAAAATGCTTTATTTTTGAAATATTGCAAGGTATGGGCAATTATACATAGTTTTCCAACATTTTTGTAAATTTTATGCAACAACGTAACGAAATTCTCTGGCTCATTGACAACAAACAAAGTGCAAGACATAAAAATTCAAATTGTTTATTTCAACGGTAATAAGAATCTTATATCAAACGAGAAATAAACTGCGTCACACTGGAGTTAAGTGACAGGGTATTCCGAAATATTCCTAATTGAACACACACACGCGTTTAAGTGTACCACACACGCACACACACACACACACACACATAAACACGTGTACATCGCGCTAAAATTTTTGTTTGTTTGTTTATATTTAATGGCTATGGGTGCAAATTAGATTCCAAAGTCCGAAACGCCACAATTAATGCTTTTTATAATGATAATTTACGAGGCGATTTTACTACGAGACGGTCACCCGACCTCCCCCCTTGAGGCACCGTTGATTCTTTCTGTTCCGACGGCACGGTATGCATTACACCTCGGACCCAGGCACCGTTGTTCTTTACTATCAGCATGGCACGGTAATCATTACACCAGCTGACTAGGAGCTATCACAGTGATTAGGACATGACATGTGGAAAAAACCACAGAGGTACCTGCGATGAAGTGGCGGAGCAGGGTCTCGAACCCGAGCCCTCCAGGCGGAAAGCAAGCGCTCTATCACTAAGCCACTGAGAGCTCATCGCGCTAACATGAGAGGTTATTTCACCTTACTAGCCAATACGAATCCATCGTTTGAATTAACCACGTGACGAACCGATGTCAACACAGTATATTTATTTTATCAGAGTACTTTACTTTGAATCTATAATTCAGAAATCACAAGTGTCGTATGTTACCTAGATACATGATTTTTCGTCCATTACAAAATTTTTGCAGTTAGGAAACAAAATACGAATAGACTAAACATAAAATTGATCGACAAACCTGAACAACTCTTGTAGGGAAATTAATGTAGTTAGCTATCATTATAATCTCCTCTTTCTTTGGTCGTGGATTAATAGCGTAGTAACTTTTGAGTACGGCCAGCTGCTCATCGTCAATAAGTGATCTTGACCTCACTCGACGCGTAATTCCGTTAGCAGTGTTGTCTGGCTGGTGATGTTGTGGTAGCGTTGACTCCTCATCCTCAGTATCAGCCTCCGAGGTATGCGTTGATAAACGATTTTCGGCTTTACGTTTAAGTGCTCGGTGCACCGTTGTCGATGATATTACTGATGGTGAAATTATCTTGTGGTTGACGTTTTCGAGCTTAGCAACTAGACCCTCACTTGGAGAGTCGCACTGTTCTGTGGCCGACCATTCTACAGGATAATGCGTCATCTCACTTGACACTTCACTATCCTGATCCTAGAATTAAACGTTACCAGAACATTTCATTCAAAATTTAGTTTAAAATCATTCAGTACAATTTAAATTTGACGTTTGAATTGTGTATCATGATAATGGTAGAACACGCTTTAAACAAGTTTTAAAAACATGCGCAATTAGCTTTCAACTTTTAAAAGTATACTGCTAGGGTGTTTTGAAACATTAAGAATGTTTACCTTTAAATTATTTTTACAGAATGCTAACTTTTGAAACATTACAGTAATATATTCCCATATTACCCCTAATGTGGACATATTGTACTAATCAAGATTTTCAGACATTTTTTACCCCCACGTTGGATTTTCATCTTAATTTGAAACATTGTCTCTTAATGGCGGACTTACCATAATCTTAACAAAAATAACATGGAGCATAAAGAACTCACGTGATAGTCTTCATCGACCTCTCGCTTGATGTGCATCAATGGTGAAGAGGCAAGCTTTCTCACGTTAGCCTCAAGCAGCTGCTTTGTAACAGAGGTGTTGACGGTTTCCAACAATCGTCTAACAGTGTCAAGTTCTTGAAACTGTTCCGGATGACGAAGGTGTAGGGGTGTCGTTGGTGGTATCAGTGCTGGTGACTCTCGACCACCTTCAGTGCCCTCGGAGTCTGGAGCCGTTGTTGAGAGGCTGAGAGCAGTCTCGCTTTGTTGGCTTAGCACGTCGTAGTGCTCAATGCTCGTCTCATCCCCACGATTGTTGGAATGATGATTAGCATAGATGCCAGGTGAATGATTTGGCTGTGACTGCTGGTATCCCTGTTTCAAGTGCAGCTGGCTTAGGATCTTTCCAAGAGACGAGTGTAAAAAGTAGCTGCCAAAACCCATCATTTGCGGTAGTAATGCAGGCATGTCATAAAAACCTGTGTCACAACAATGACATCGAAAATCAATTTACAGTCAGTTTTATTTTTAGGGGCACAGTTAGATAGGAATGAAATTTTATTTTGATTCCAGTAATTATATTAACTTTCTCATACGTTATAATCAATGAGTTGTAACAAATCTATTTATCTAATGATGTTAAACAATGAAGGTGCCGAAGACTTAAATTTCGTATGAAAATTTTCAACTGTTTCCACGTATGGCATAGTGGTCAAAACAATTATTCTAATACGAAAAGGTTTTGATACTATACGTTTCACTATCACATTTTATAATGGCGCACCAGGTTGATATGCAAAATAAAAGTTTGAGCGTACCAGTCGAATCACGCTGAGGGTCCTCAGAGGGTGATAGCTTGGGTAAAATCGGCCGAAAGGTGTTGTTGTTGGTGGTCAGCAGCTCAGCATCGTGCCTGGGCTGCAACTGATTAGACTGGTGTTGGGTGGACTTTTGTTGGACTTGTAAAGTCTGCTGTTGCTGAAGATTTAGATGCTCCTGCTGCTGCTGTTGCTGCTGTTGTTGTACAGGTGATGGAAGTGGTGGTGGTGCAGGTGGAGGTTGTGGTTGTGGTTGCTGCTGAGACTTTTTACCAGAGGATGGTCGCTCTCCATTGGTTCCAGTGCCAAGTGCGGCCTGGCGCGATTTTTTTAGATTATTGACAAGACATTTCTTCGATGTCATGTGTGACGAGTACGAGCCCGAGTGTGAGAAGCGCTTTCCGCAGTTGTTGCACTGAAAGGGCTTTTCCCCGCTGTGTATTCTCAAGTGCTCCTGCAACGTTAATTGAACAACGCGTTGCCTGTAATGTAATGTCGCAACTCGTGCTGACTTCATCTACCTCCCCCCTTTCCCACTACATCGTTTCCCCTCATTTCATTGATTCTCCTATTTCTCTCTTTCTGATGCCCTCCCCCTCATCTGTGACTCTCGGGGCTCTTTCTTTTCCCGCCTCTTCTTTTCAATTAGTTCGCCGTGCCTTACCAAGAAACCTTCTTAATTGCTCACTACATGCGGGATACAAACGAGCACAACTATTTCGTGTAAGCTACCAGCACATGGGTTAAAGTTAATGGAAGCAACATTTTAGTGCCTGTTTTAGCTGTTCATTTTATTTTATTATTTTTTTTTTTTTTCTTTACCTTTTTTTCCCAACCCTCGTTCGTAAAGTTATTAACTATTTTTATAAAGAAAAAGCTTTGTGAATGACTCAGCAAAAAGTATAGAGCTCAAACCATACTTCAAATAAACCTTAGAATATTTCTCACACGTTCACAATGATTGGTTGGAAGAGTCTGTAATGTATACAAGCATTTTTGAAGTTATACGTTAAACCTTCGAATTGAAATTTTAAGGATACAATAAAAAAATAATAATCTGCACGTATAATCAGCAAGTAAGTGATATTGAAAAGTACAAAATGTAGTAGCTTTTTGTGGTCAATTATTTTTTGGTTTATTTGGAGAAAAGTGACTTAATGTCTTTATGAATGCTAAGATTACATCAATAAGTTATTCTTGGATCTATGGCCGTTTTCTTTCAATAATAGTTCGTGAAAAAAGTCAGTTTATTCTTGAAATGAATTGAAAAGTCTCAAAATAGTCGATTTCATTACAAGGGTGTGATCGGGGCATTCGATATCTCGCAAAAGTAAGCATTTTTTTCGATAATTCCCATAAAATAACCAAAAATAACGACAATGCGCATGCGCAGTTTAGGAATTATTGACACACCCTTGGTGTGCACATTTTCCAAGCCAATCACGAAGCCCGAGGGTGCTTGTAAACCAACACTCGAAGGATCTTTATGACCGTCCCAAATGAATCAAAATATGTTTAAAGGCAAAACATGCATAGGAGACTTTAATGCATTTTCTTATACAGAGTTAATGTGCATTCTAAAAGAATGAATGACCCTAGTATGAAATAAATCAATATATGAACATAGTGAGGAGTAAACGAAAAAGTATATTTTTATTTAATAATCCTATCTCATAGTTCATTTTCTAATACAATAAAAAGTACATTTCATAGGTTAAAGAGCTTATCACAATATTAAATGATCTTAACAATGTTAAAGTATATGAAATATTTTTCTGTAGTTAATAATTAATACGAATCTATGTGAGATGTAAATAATAATTCAACAAAAATTTATAAAAATTACAAGCAACAGTTACATAAAGCAATTTATAAGTATTAATATATTAGTTCAAATACCTTAAGATGGTGTTTAAATTTGAAGGCCTTTTCGCAATGGGGGCATTTGAATTTGCGAAGTATTGCACTTTCGTCATGGCTGATCATATGCCTTTGTAGTCTGTACACATTTGCAAAAGATTTGCTGCATATTTTGCATGACTGAAACAAGAATTATACATTCGTGGTAATCCACATATTAATAGGAACAATCATAAAAATCACGATTTTTATGTATTTGTAAAAGAAAATTTTTTATATTCTGGACAAACAGAAGAAAAATATCTATGATGTACAATAAAAAGACTAAAAAAATGATGATTTACTACTCGATTTCCTATTAGGTATAATAAACATCATGTACATCACAATATGTGTATCCAATGTATACAAAGAAAAAATTAATAAAGACATTACAGATGAGTAAAGGGTAAAATGAGTATATTGTTAACGGTTCTAAGTTAAGTCAGAAGCACGCTGAAAAAATTTACTGTTTTGTGGAGATATTCAATTTAATCTAAGCAAGCTCAAATGGTTTGGGGATCCGAATAAAGAACAAAGGAAAATAATTGTACAAGCTGGGATTAAAATGCTGTGATATGATTGTCTTATGCAAAATAATAAGTATAGAACTCAAAAATTTAAGGAACATAGATAAACCTTTATTATTGGAAATATCATTAGATAGAAAAAAAATCAGAGCTAAGACAGCTAAGCCCATAGAGATTTTTTTGGTTTAAGTATTAATTTACAGCTTATAAGAAAATATAATTTAAAGCTAGGTAATGGTCTAAAGTTAAGGGAGTAAATTGAAATAAATAACTGTTATTTACATATTCCAGCACTTAAAAAACAGTAATAGTTTCACGGCCTAATTTACTGACTGTTCATTTTAAACTAAAGAATCCTGTCAAATAGAATTGAAGATGTCTTAATAATCCTGGTTCTATCTTAACCTTTGTAAGTATTATTATTTTGTAAAAATATTCATAAAATCATATCGTGGCAATATCACTTGGCTTGATAAATTGTTTCTTACTTAATTTTTGGAACTTTATTTGAGGTTTTGATTTTTTTTACAGCGTTGTCAGTTTCTAACAAGCCCTAATAATTAACGTCAATACATTTTAAAATATTTTTCAACAAGAAGTGTTGCCTAGCTAGTTTACATTTTCTGTTAATGATAAAGTTAGTTTTTAATCTAATGCGATACTCAAAATTAGTCTGAAAAGGTGAAAACCTTCGTTTTTTAGCAGAAGTCTCGTTATGGTTAGCAAAAATATAATAAAAGGTAAGGACACATGTAAATATTGACTGAGACGACTAAACTGTATTACTAAATTATATTTATCTTCAGTTTCAGTTAAAGTTAACTATAATGTATAGCATTATCTGTATTAAAATGAAACTGAAGCATTTAGAGGAATTTTATAACTGAAATAAAAATTGCGTACTTCTATTGACTCTGTTTTGTGAACTGACTCAGCTACCTCTTCTCTACCTGTTATATCTATGTCTTTATCCTAGATTACACATCCTTATCTCTTTCTTAATTTCTCTTTTTTCATTCAAATTTTCTTACATTTATTTCAAAATTCTCTATACTATAGTGGCTCAGTCCTGCAATTTAAGTTACTGAAGACTATGCTTTGCAACTTGATGTTTGCATTCTTAGTCCTTCCTTTAATATTATAATTATGTCTTTTTTCATGTCTAATGTATACAAATTACTATGAAAATTCACAAGCATTAGGTACTTTTCAAATTTTTTATTGTAATTTTGTCATTTCTTCCTTTATCATCATTCCATACAGACATACATTTCAGTTTCTCTTTTCATATTATACAATTGCATGCTCCAATTTTTTACATAAACTTTACTGTACTATTTTTTCTTTCTTTCTTTGAATGGTTTAGTTTTTTGGTATGTTTGATTTTTTCATATGAGTTTATAATTCTTCTCAAGTACATTTTATAAAGTTCTCAGGTCCTTAAAACTAAGTTTCGATGATTTTATCTTTATCTTAGTATAATATAAGATAATCTACTTTTTAATTGTTTCTGTATGTGATACCAATATTTTTTTCACGTATTTTCCTTTTTAGGCATCTTTTTATGTCAATTTTCAAGTATACTGACTTAACCTATGGCTCCGTATTTTAATATGCCTATATTTCCTTGAAACTATGGGATTTAATATTTTTATTTTTGACTCTTAAAGCTATTTATATTGTGTTTCTACATTTCTTATAGTAAAATTTTGTAGTCTTCAGGCTTGTGAAATCTTGCTGTTGGATTATAGTTTCTTATTTATGGATCACGCTTTTTTCAATTTTTTATTTCTTGCTTTCAGAAGTTTTTTCTATTTTTAATTTTTTTCTCTTTTTTTAATATTGTCTGCATTTGTAGTTTTTTTTTTGCTGGTTATAAACTCATACTTCTCTAATCTATATTTTGATTTTTTAAATAATTTTACCTTCATTATAAATTGTTAGGTACCTGCTTTTTATTACCTTAATCCATCTTAAATCATTGTATTAAACAGGCCTTTGTAATATTCGTCTAAACATTAATATAGTTGTATTTAGACATTGCCTCTTTCTTTTTATAACTCAAAGGTTTTCTTTAATGTTCTCCTCCTCATATACTACGGAATCAATACTTTAACTAGTTCATTTAAGTTTATCTGCATTTTAATGATTCAAGGTATTATACTTGATTTTGACTTTTTTAAAACGGTTACCGTGAGAAAAAGCCCTAAGCTTTCTAAGCTCTTTAAATTTAAAGACTCATTTCATCATAGCTAAAGAAATACTATGCTTTTATAACTTGAGTACATCTTGAATCTCGCACTAGGACGTTTAACCTCTTATTTTCTGAAAAAAGTTAGGTAAGCTCTCATGTTACATCCGAAAGAATTACTTTTCCTTAGAAGTGCTTCTTCTTTTAACTTAAAATTGATTTCTTCTCTCAATTCATCAATATTTTTGTATTTTTTTAATTAGTCTGCAATCAGGCTTTTCATTTCATGTATTACGTTCCCTTACCTCATGAATATCATTTTTTCTCTATCATCATAATACTTTTTCTGTGTTTAGCTTTGCATCAAAAATTTATTCTCATAGAATTTTTGCACTACTGTAAAAATTCCACGATTAAGACCATCATCATTTCAACGGAAATCTGCTTTAAAAATATTGATTCAAAAAATTTTTTTTTCCAATTTTCAGTATACTCTCGCTAAACGATTTACTTTGTAGCAGTTTCGACAATAAAGTGAACTAGCCAGTCAGTTTTTGTAGGATTTAAAATATATACAATAATTTATTGAAATTCCTTACCTAATTTAAATCGATCTCACGTGACCATAACGTAGGAACTTCTGAATTGTGTGGGTTCGTTGGTTATGTAATGATGATCTTTGAAATTGAATAAACTGCTTTATATGTAAAAAGCAGACACTAGCTGTGTTGTCTGCTTGTTTATCTGGATGATTTGATACAAGGTATAAATAAGGTTACACGTACAACTGTCAACCAACAAATGATTGGAAAATGAATGAAAAAGAAGTTATTTCTAATTCTAACTCGTACAAGTACTGTTTTGTGCAAGTATGTAGAAATACTACAGCGAAGAATTAATCCAAGATTTTTTTAGTCGTCCCAACCAACTCGTTAAAAAAAAAACTTTGGTGCGATGCTGTAAGGTATCCAGAAAAAAAATTGAGAAAAATTAGTCACTGTTGTGAGGACCACTTTGGTGTATGTATGCAAGCACAAGTATTTTTAAAGAATTTTTGATTTTTTGATTATCCATAGCTACAGTAAATTTTACCTTTTCTAAAAACTTGGTTGCAAAATGATTTACAATACTTTATGTTATAGTAAATTTGTATAAACTTGAATTAATCCAACATGCTAAAATACGACAAAACCTTCCATAGCAGTCTTTGGAATAAATAAAATTTAACATCAGATCTAAATCTACTTTTGGTAGATTTTCGGATGTTCCTTTAATAAATCCTGGATTCATAGAAACTTAAGTACTGATACGCCAAGTGTCAACAACTCTCTCAGTAAACAAAAACAGTCTGGTGTCTGCTTCGAATGAAGCGTATTCTAATGAAGAACATTGACGTCTCAAAGCAAAACTGGCTGTCATTAATGGCAAGTCAAGTAAACCTTAAAAATTCAGAAGTTCTTAAATTACTATCACGTAATATCGATTTGAATGAGAGCTTGAATAGCGTGCTCGGAAAATATTTAATTTCTTGATCTATGCACTATTTACTGGTGATATTATAACTTATACATATTCAATTTACATTGCGCTAGCGATATAAAGCATTAGTTGACTGAATCCTGCTGCATGCAAGTTCTCTATTAAACAACTTATACCTACAGTTTGAGAAGTTTTTACTAGTATTGATTTTTAAACAAAGGTTTGGTTTTGTTGCATCTTCTTTTTTGAAAAAATTCTAACTTACTATCCTATCTGATTTTCTCTCTGTTAGTAGAATGAGTCATGGTGGCATAAATAAATTTTTGATTTACTCTACTAATGGTGATTCGCTAATGAAAAACTCCATAGATAAATCCATTGTTGCCTCCTTTCTTAAAACCTTTTTTTTTAAATTTGTTAATAACTTTTTATCCGTTTTTCTTACATTACGTCTGAAATCATTCCATTCTTTCATTTTGTTGTTATATCATCTCAGTGTCCTAAAACTCCTGTCAATCTATATTTCTGAGTTCACACCCTATAATTTTGTAAACGTCCACAAAAACTATTTATAGATCCTTTTTTCTTATTACAAATTACAAAACTCCTTGCGTTCTTTCACACTAGACTTTTTTTATAAAAATTTCCTTTTTACTATGAGACATAAAACCCGAAACAATGTGGCTTAGGTAAATTGTAATGACGTGAGTTCTTAGTTACATTTTTCTGAAGTAGCGTGAAAAATAAAGCGCCATCACCAGTAGAGCCATTTTTCAGCACAAGGATTCTGCGAAGCAGAGTCCAAGTAGGGCAGTCCTGTTTAGATGGTACTTGTGTGATCAACACTATTTTTTTACCGAGTAAAACAAGCTGCCCAAAGTAGACAAAAAGTTATTCCTACCTTGCAGGCTGTTTTTTGTGATATTTGGACGTTTACTGCGCCCTCGGTAAGAAAAAAAAGTTCGCACTAGGTTCACATCTGACCAAGGAAGTCACGGTGCTTGGACATATACGGTCAGGTATGGAATAGTACATTACGCCACTAGAGCGCAAAGTGTCACTGTACTTTTCTGCAAAGTACTTTTCTGCCCACGGGCCCAAAGTAGTCGGCGGGCGCAAAGTTCGCCCAAGGGTGTAAAGGCTTGCGCTCGAGTAGCGTATATTATTTTTCTCCTTAAGGGAGCAAAGTGAGGTTATTAACTCTACATGTATAATAAAAAAATTAATTAAAGTTTATAAGCCTCAAATTAGTATGCAAGCATTGCCATATTTATGCTAACTCCAGTAGATATATGTTGTAAGGCTGCGTACAGACGCAACGCCAATACTTTTTACAATCCATTTGAATGCGCGAGTGCGAGAGAGAGAGAGGGCGAAGAGATGACGGATCGTTCGCCCTCTCTCTCGCACCCGTGCATTCAAATAGATTGCGTGCAGATTGATATTGCCGTTGTATCTGAACGCAGCCTAGGCTGCCGATATTGCTGCTTTGCGTTATGTCNCACTTATGTAAAATTAAGTATGATTTCATTTTTATAAAATAAAGTCTAAAAAAGTAGTCGGTAAGGTAGGGAATTTTTTATATAAGTAAGAGTTAATTGTTAATAAACGAAAGTGCGCATCAAAGGTTGTGCGGGGTCCAGGGGCGGCAGCCCCTGGTCGGGGACCAGGGGGCGAAGCCCCCGGCGGGAGGCCAGGGGGCGGAGCCCCTGGTGGAGGGTGATGGGGCGAAGCCCCCCCCTCGTCCAAAAAATCAACTGATCGTTCGATTAATGAAAATTTACAACCATTTCCCGAACAAAAAAAAATAAATTAAATTAATCTAATCTCCTGAAAAAAAAATAAACTTAGTGGAATGAGAGTATGAGTATCAAAAAATGGAAATGAAAGATATATTACGAAAGCCCTATATAAGTATAATACTCCCTTATTGTAATATTATATTTTCCTTAAAATATACTTATAATAGAATTTCATAAGATAATCAAGTCTTGTATTGAAGATGTATAAAGAAAGATATTTGATAGATGTCGCATATAACATTTTGATAATGTACACCAACTACAAAATTTACTAATTTTTCTTATTTGCAGGCGGAAATGTACTTTCTGCCCTAAGGCAGGAATGTACTTTCCGCTTTAGGGCGGGAGGTTCCACTTTCCGCCCGTGAAACAGGCACTGAAAGTACTTTCGGCGCTCACTTTCCGCCCAAAAGGAGGAAATGGTAGTTTTTCTACGAGTTTGAAAAGTCTCTGTTTGCGAACCGAGAGGTTTGCGGCCCGAGCCGAAGGCGAGGGACGTAACGAGGTTCGTAAAGGAGACTTTTCGAGCGAGTATCGGAAAACTGCTTTTTTGCCCGAGGAAGTACCAGCCTCCCAAAACCACCCGAGGGCGGAAAACTACTTTTTTTTTATTCTTCATCATTTGTTTGTTCGTCTACTATTTTTGTGATTTTAATTGTCTTTTTTCTCAATTGAAACTAATCAATTAAGCTTGACATCGCTGCTTCTCAAGCAATTCAGAAAACTATGCTGAATATCAACTCACCTCTTACATAACAAGAGAACTTCTGGAGAGTTAACACTGGCTAAAAGCCTGTCTTATTTCCATTATTATTCCCATAATAAAATTCTTTAACTGGTGGAATTATTTGTTATAAAACAAAATCATTGTTTCATATAGATTTTTAAAGAAAATCTTGCAGTCTAAATTATATTACACATCCCAAAAAAAAAAAAAAAAACATACACATGCAGATGACAACTTCTGTTGGAGCAGTAAACTTTTATTGTTATGCAAAAGGAAATATATCCATTATAATTATGTCATTCGAAAAATTGTTTGTTCACTACGAAGCTAACATAACAAAAAAAAAAATAATGTGGGAGATGGTTAAAAAATAAAAGAAAAACATAAGAAACGCGAGAATGTAAAATAAAAGTACTCACGACTTGAGAGAATTGAGCCTGAAGTTCGTTTTTGTCAACGGGATAGGCTGCTGAGTCAGATTTGTGCTGATCCTCCAGATGGAGCTGAAGTATGCGTAAGTTTCTGCAAACAATGCCGCAATGTGGGCAGCGCTCGCATGCCGCCGCGGCTGATAGAAGCTTGGAAGTGCCGTTGGCCGGAGCGTCGTCATTGATGTCCGCTGCCGTCGCAGTGACGGCAGTGGTTGAGGCTGTAGTGGCGGTAGTTGTAGTATTGGTGGTGGTAATGGATTCGCTACTGGCCCTGCCTCTTTCGCCAGTGCCAACACTGTCTGCGCAACCACCCACCTCTGCGTCGGCACCTGCTTCATCCTCGCTGCACCCTGAAAAGTAATACATGTACGTTACTACGTTTCGATTTTGTGTGTACTTTTAAAAATGTTGTAATATTATGAGTGTACAATATTTTTCGGAGGAACAACCATAACAGCACGCTTCCTAAGCTGCTAATTTTTTTTTTTTTTTTTTCATAACTACTACCAACAAAAGACGATTAAAAAATAACAATAAACTAAATTTCAAGAAACTTGTAAAATCTTGTGTGGAAATGATAGTTGTTTTGCTTTTTTTTATTTTTCAATTATCATATTTTGTTAAATATTACCATTTTTTTCTATTAACTTATTTTTCATTTTATTTTTTTAATGACGAAAGTTGTAACAGACATGAAACTAACCAGAAATTCGCTTCAATGACTTTATAGAAACAAATGTATAAGTTTATCACAGTTATTACAAATATTGTAATCATCTATTAGAGTTAAAAACATTAACGTATACTGTTTTAACAGCTCGTTCATATAGCAAACGCTTATCTAATCATTCCAGCTGAAGAAGACTGGATATTTTGTTTTTTATTTTCTATAAGTAAAACTTACGAGTATAAAAACGTGCGATAAATTTATACAGTAACAAGTATTAAAAATTAAATTTTTAATGATACGTCTGCAAAGAAAGTTTAAAAAGAGTTTCATTCAACAATTTTACTGTGAAATACCTTTTTTTTGGAAATAGAGAACAACACACTTGAAATGGTATTAAAAATTTAATCAATTAGTCAACAGTATATGGACAAATTTTAAGTAGCTAAAAAATACTTTCATACAAGGTCTTATGATATGTGTCAATGTCATAATATACTTTCTTTACAAACGTTATTAAATTCAAAAAAATTTTGTAGATAAATATATTAAAATGTATAGCAAACATGAACATAAAATGGTATTTTTAATAATAAGCTCAGTGAATCTTGTAGTATGAGAAATATGTATAATGCAGGAAAACGTATAAAACACCACTCAAGAATACAGTTTATTAAACTCAGTACACTATTCTACATAGTTTATTGGGATGTATAATCCCTCTTAATCTAACAAATTAATTTATTTAGAAGAAAGGAATTATGGTAAATAAAACTGTCATGAAAGTGTCAAGTTTACTAATTAACATAACGTATAAGTAGTTGATAATCTGGAAAATAACAACTTTTTCACCTCATCATCCATATTGCTTGGGTTATCACACATCAGTCCTGCACTGTTTTAACGAACGAATGAGAAGATAGAGGAAGCCTATATAAGAAGAGAAGGGAGGTCTCAACGAGTTAGCACTGCTCCGTCCTTTGAAGGGCTGAACATCTCCTATCCCTATTTCGCCGCCCACGCACATACCATATGCATCAATAGCGCACGCCTCGTTAAAAAAGCCCTGCCCCTAAAAATTTCATTCAATTAAAGTATGACTGTCACTCTCCCGTACCTGCTACGCAATATAAAGTACAACAGCGAGGAAAGGTGCGTAGTAGAAGGTGGAAGAGAAAGAGACCGCAGATAAGGTAAGTGAGTAAAAACGTTTATAAATAGTATATGAAGAATTCCACAGAAAAAAGTCATTTTCGGTGTTAGGAGATGGGTTTAATACTTTGATTAAACCACATCTTTGTAATGTTTCATTTTGTCGTATTTGGCTGTATTCATAATTTTTTGATGAATAGAAGATGACAAATGGTTTATTTATCAATCTTCAAAAAGTCCAAGTCGTCAATATATTATTTTTATGACCCTAATTAAGTTGGCAGGAAAATAGTTATGAAAGCATATTTGATTTACAGAGATTTAGAACTTTACTTTGGAATATAAAGTATTTTAATGTTGATAACGTACTAAATCAGACATTGTTCAAAATAAATTTTTTTAGTATTAGGTATTGACCATATTTTTTTTTTTTTTTTTTGCTATTTAATCTAGGATAAATGTAATTAAAAATCTTTTTCGGAAGGGATACAAAGTCTACTGATATATTATAAAACGTTATAAAAAATATCGTAAGGCTTGCATATGTACAATTTTTAAAAAAATAATACATAAACGTCCAAGATTTTCAAACCAAACTTTTTTCTTATGTTTGAATAAAACGTGTTCTTTCTGTGGGTTTCTACACTGACTCATGGTTAAAAATCGATAACAGGTAAAATAAAAAATTACTAAGGTTGAATATTCGTCCCAAATGGTTATATCACTAGAATAAATGTTTGCAACGATTGGGCGTGACAGTCATCAACGTTACTATCATCACACGCTATGGTTATATTTATATAGACGATTGTGCCTTATTGACGCAAATATTTTTTGTGGGAAAGTTTTGGGGCAAACACTTTTTTGTAGCACTGTCATTTTTTATCTAAATATTATTTTGTCACCCACAAAAATCTAAAAGCTTTTTCACGTCATTAGTTCAATATGTAACTAATTTCTGACCAGTGTCTGATTAAATAATTTTTCGAACTTTGCATAAAAAAAAAAAAAAAAAATCATGTTTCAAACTTTCGTACCCATTAAAATAACTACTATTCTTTCAGAAAATGTTAGAGTGGCTAAGACTTTTTTCTGATCACGTACTGTAAATAGCGGGATAAAGCGGTTTATCTTGATAGCGTGCAAAAAGATTTATTTTAATTTTTGCAGATGATAATAACAGATGGTTACTTGTAAATTGGCTTCCACCTTCAGGTATGGCATGCATAAGCACATTTTCATTCAATAATTATAAAATCACTAAAGGCTCGTTCGAGACCCCAAATCAAACGCTAGAGATGCAATCCTACGCCCTCGTTTCACGTACATGCACGGGTGACTGATCGCAAAATGTACTGACGTGTATATATATATATATATATATATACATATGTGTGTGTACTATACAGTGTATAATCTCTCCCCTCTGCCGTTGGCCCAATATCCCCATAACTTTCATTAGAAGGGGAAAGAGAACAGAGCAGGAGTGATTCACCCCCTCCTCGGAACGATGACGATGCTTTCCAGCATCACGTGCCACGCGGCAGCTAGACCTACAGTAGAGGGGTTGAAAAAGAGAGTCGAGCGAGTCGAGGGTTGGTACGTATATGTATCTACATGTGCGTGTTTGCAAAGAGATGGATCGAGGAAGTCTTCAGATTTTCACTCACATGACTCGGTGATGCTGAAAGGGAAAAATGAGGAAGAGAGAGAGAGAGAGAGAGAGAGAGAGCGTACGATGGGGGAGGAAGGCACAAGGACGCGTGTTACGAAAGAGCCTTGTCTTCTTGTCCACTATACGGACGCCAGTCTTTCCTCTCTCTCCTCTTTCATTATTCTATTGTGCTCTAGGTACACACGCATGAGCCATTTTTTACTTTTTTTTTTTTTCAAGAGTATATACGGTAGCTTCCCTTCCATTTTTCTTATTGGGTAGAAAAATGAGCACAAGTTTTTGTGCATGTTGATTTTAAATGTACCATACATCAATATTTTGAATAGTATACATGCTGAAGCTAAAAAAACATGAATTTTTCTTTTTTATCGCCGTCCAAAAAAACTAGAGGTGTTTCTTTACTTGTACGTATAGAGCAACCGGGTACAGTACTCAGTGCAGAATGTTTTTTAACTTATTGGCAACTCAGTAGGATTTTGGCTAGAATATAAAATGATTGTTGAACTATAGGATTCTGGGGGTCGGACATTCTAGTTTTACACCAAAAAGTGGTTTAGAAGGGGTACGATTGGCGATTAAAAAAATCACGTGAGGAAACAGAAAACATCTATCATCTACGTGATCTCCGATAAATATATGTTTATTCTTTTCCTCATACGAGACTTTGATAATTAGATTTATTTAAATTTTTTCCTAATAACTGTGTTTTAGTAATAGTACAGACAAACTGTCGTATAACCGAGTATAACCAGTAATAGAAAAAAATCTTTTATGTCAAGATAAGCATCTATAACGGATAAATAATTAGTATGTAATATGTATTGCATAAAAGAAACAGAACGTGATACAGAGAAAGATTCGTAGTTTGAGAGGTGAGATGAAAATGGAAGAAATATGAAAACTCTGAGGGTTTTGAAATAGCTTTGAATAGAACAATTGAAAGGATTAAAGAATCAACTTTGACACGTGATGTCTGAACAGCAAGTCTAAAAAACAAAAAGTGTCTTCAATATTACAGGATTAAAATTTCAGAAATTGGTACTTAATGGTATTGTAATGGAAAAGTATAAAAACAAACTTGGAACACGTTACCTTTCATAGCAAGGAAGAGCTAATAAATAAAGTTAATTTGGAGATGAATGTTAAAAAATAAAACAAAAAAACCAAAGATTGAATATACATTGAATGTTACATTGAATTCAAATGTATGAGACGTACAAACCCCTCTCGTCATCAATGCCAACTTTGTAGACTATAAATTTCAAAGTCCACAGATGTTCAAACAGCGAAATCATCTATAGGGCTGAATTCATCAGCTTATAATCTAAAGTTAAATCATCATTTAAATATAAAAGTAGACAAAGTTTTTTCACGTATCCCCAAAGTTGCAGTCAGAAACTTCAACGCGAGTTGTTAACGCCATACAAGCTTACGAAATTTATTTAACTTATCGCCATTGACACGTACAAAACTGAAAGCTTATATTAATTGAGACATTGCTCTATATATTCAGACCATAAAACTTTCGTGATCGAAAATTATTACATGGCAAATTTGCGTGGATACAGGGGATATGAAATATATTCCCGCAAAGAGCAACAAGCCATAAAAATTATACACCTGATCTTTAACAAAATTAATATTAATACACCCTAGACTTATGGGTACGATAAGAATATATACCAAAGTCACCGAGAAATAAATGCACGTGCATTAAATGTATCAGCCACGCGGTCCAAAGGGCACCCCTACGTGGGTACCGAGGCACTCTTATACATATCTACCAACGCGGAGCTGCCAAACGCAGAATCGCATAAGGTGTGTGAATACACGGTTAAAGGGGAGGAGGGTAAAAT